GGTTTTATTTTGGTGCATAGCTGTTAAGATGAGTTTGAAAAAGCACAAAAAGCACAAGTCGGAAAAGAGAGACAGACATGAAGGTACTGAAATGTCACTATAACCTTCAAATTTATGGTAGAATTAAGTTTTCTCTCAATAATATGCCAAACATTTACCGCTACATTTGCTAGAAATGTTTCCAATGTATATGTTAACTGTAGCCTACAACTTAATGGTTCCCAGATCTCTGTTACTGGATCACTAGCTGTCAGAGGATGTCTACAGTGTCTTCTGCCTGTTTACAGACAAATCACAAACTGGTGGTGACAAGCCACCGGGTCTGCGGCTCATTTTGAAGATGAGCAATTCCACACCAGACAATTCATGTGACTCACTGGGGCCTATGGTGGATGAAGAAACAAGTAGAATGTCTGCTGCATCTTCCTCTCATTTGACAAGTGTTCGGGACGACATTTTAAATTCAGTGAATGCTTTATCTGATCGCTCTCACAAAAAAGCTAAAAAGAAAAAGAAAAAGAAGGAGAAGGATCGTGATAAACATGAGAAAAAGCACAAACATCATCACAAGGTAGGCATGGGAACTGCGTAATCAAAATTCGTTTCTCACTCCTAGAAAGTGTTTTCATTTAGATCAATGGCTGGTTTATGTGTTTAGGAAAAACGGAAACGTCGTGAAGAGTCAAGCCAAGATGATGTTAGTATGGGTGAAGAGAGTTTGTCTGAACCTCCTGCAAAGCGTGCTGGATTAGATGGTTCTCAGGTGATTGATGAACAGATGATTGCTGTGGCAAGAGAAGTTGACGGTTAGTATTGTTATACTTAAAACTATGTTGTGTAGACACATTTTTTGATTTGTTTCCTGTCCCTCATGATTTCAGCTGCCATTCGTGAGCCACGATCATGCGTTTTGAGACAAAGACAAGAACGGTCTGCTCTGCAAAGACTCTTGGAGTACTTGCTGAAAGCTTTAGAGAAAAAGGATCCAAAACAACTATTTGCTTGGCCGGTGACTGATCACATCGCCCCAGGCTATTCATCCATTATTTCAATACCAATGGATTTCAGCACAATGAAGCAAAGAATTGATAATGGAGTCTATTCATCCCTGTCCCAATTCACTGTAAGTCAGAGGTCATAGTTGATAAATTTTTGGCTTGTTGCCATTTTTTTTAAACACAAATTTCTTTCTTGCAGGATGACTTTAAATTGTTGTGCAATAATGCAATGGTTTACAATCAGCCCCACACAATATATTACAAAGCTGCTAAGAAGTTGCTCCACACTGGTGTCAAAATGATGAGCCCAGATAAGCTGAGACCTTTGCGGTCTGTCTTAACTTACATGGTTGATATCGGGCGAGAAGCTTTGGGCTTTGATGTTGGTGAAGGACTTGCTGCTTCAGAGCTTGTTTCTCCTGGCAGCCCTTTGGCAACCAATTCAGATATGGGAATGGAGGGTGCCTCGCTTGGTGAAGAAAGTATGGACATTGATATTAAGAAGAAGGAGCAGAAACCCATCCTGTAAGAGCCTGTTTTGTTTTGTTAAATGGTTTCAAAGTCTTTTGGCCGTTGTATTCCCTCTGCATTCTTTGTGTAAAATGCTGGGGTCCTTATTTTGGCCTACAGTATGAGGCCCAGTTCAGCATGGATGACTATTGCCATTTAGAAACTGAACAGCAGTTCTCAAACGTTAAACTAAAGTTAAAACTTAAGTTAACTGCTTGGGATTATTGCTAACATTTTCTTAATGGCTTCTCTGTTGAGTCAATCATGTTGAGCAGGGGACAATCATTTTGATCAATGATGAACTTAAAATTTGGAAATGTTTAATTGGTTACCACAAAGTACAAATTGTTTCTATTGAATTTTCCTGATTACAGTAACAAGTTTGAGGCTATTCCTGATGACCTTGCTCCTGAAGAGATTCTTGAACAAGCTCAAAGAGCAAGACAAGCTGCTGCAGCAAAGCTTGCAGCCAGGAAGCCAAAGACAACCGTAAGTTTTTTACCAAGTGTCAAGCCACCCATTGTTTTTATGGAAATCGGACTTTCATATAAATATTTTTTTCAATACTTAGATGGGATTTTTACGTCAGCGTAAGGATGGTACCACATCTCTTAATATATTAGTACCTGGAGATGGAATTGATGTAGAGAAGAAAGAGAAAGCAGTTTTACTTGGAGCTGTCACTGGGAAGTTGACCAATGGTACAGGGCAGCTTCAAGGTTTCAGAGAAGACAAACGGAATTTGGCCAAAACAGGTTAGTGCTCAATCAAGTGACCAATATTCGTGTGTACCTATGCTGCATGAAATTAATTGTTCTGAATGTGTTTGGTTTTCTTGATTTATAATTACTGATCATTTTCTTTACAGTTAAACCGCTTTACTATGGTGCTTTTGGGTCTTACGCACCATCACATGACTCTACTTTTGCTAATTTAAGTAAAGATGAGTCAGATCTTGTGTATCAAACGTATGGTGATGACGCTGCTGTTCAGTATGCTGAGAGGTATGCATCCTTTTTAACTGAAAGGATTGGATCCAATGATCCATGATTGAGGTGGGGTCTCTAACATGCTTTTGTTTGCTTCTTTTTCAGCATACTGGATTTTGCAAAGGACAATGACTATACTATTACAATGGTAGATAATCTTTTGGACATTTTAACACATGGTGAACACAGAAGAACAAAAAAGAATCTTGAGGATAGACGTAAAATGAGAGAAGAGGAGGAACGAATGCGAGTTATCCTAGACAGTGCTAGAAGTCAAGAAAGTACGACTGCCCTGGCAACTTCTCCCACTGTACCAATCCAATGTCCAAATTCAAAGTCCCAGTCCACCCCTACTCCTCCAGTTACTATACCAGTTCAGGCTATGAATTTGGATTCCTTACGAAGTCTTGGTGATCTTGGTATTGACACAAGTTTTTTGGAGGGAGTTGGTATGTAACTCATTCTTATCCTTTTTTTGCTTTGAGACATGTAATTGACAGATGCAGCCTTATATAATGTGATTGATGTTTCTATTGCAGAGGTGCTGAGGAAAGAGGTAGAGGAGCAGCAGCAGGCTCAAGCTCAGCTAAACCACACTGGTGGTCTCCTGGAGAACTTGCAACAAGTTCAAAGTGACCGCTTGAGCACTGCACCACCCCAGCACTTGTCACAAGTGTTGCAGCCATCCATAACAGAAGTATCCTTAGGTAAAATCTCACTAAATTTTTCATGCTTGCCTTCCAGTTCGGTTTTCACTTTGAAAATTTAAAATTTCTCGTTACTCTTTTGTTTTAGCTGAGAAGATAACAGAAAATCTCACTGATTTGGCAAAGAGAGTTCCTCCTGCTGCAATTGTTCCTGTAACAGCTGTTCGAAAGGCTATGGGTGTGCAGGTAACGCCTGATAGTGAAGGCGTCAGCTCTTCAACTTCCGGTGACCATATTCAGACAGGTAAATATGAAGGAGGTTCAAACTCAAGTTGTCTTATTTCCTGAAGGCACAGCTCTCTCCTTACACTTTCTTCAATTTGCAGGCGTTCAAGCTTCAACAGTTCAGGCCTCCAATCCCACCAGTTCTGGAACATCAGTTCGAGACTTAGAAGCGGAGTTACGAGAGTTTCTTGAGAGTGAAACGTCCATGGGCAATTCTGAAATGCATGATGATCAGTCAATTGATGAAATATTTTCAGTTCCCTAGGCTTATCATTTGTGTAGGCAATCAGCATGGAACACACAACTGTACAATCATGTGCTCCCTTGTTGTATTCACAAGTTACCTATTGTGTCTGTGTATTTATGCTGGGACAGTCATTATGAATTATTGTTTGACAACAAGACCTCTTTGCTTCATTTCTCATGGCTTTAATTGATTGGATTAATTGCAAAGCACAATGTATTTAATTTGTGACCATTCCCATGATTTTTTTGTTCTAAGATTGAATTTAATTGGTTTGTGTTTTTCTTATTTCTCTTTCCCATTTTTTGGTGGTATTTTTGAAAAGAACTAGTCTTTTAATTGTGTCACTTGCTGAAGGCTTGCATGTCTTCTGCTTCATCTTCAAAATCTAATCTTTAGGTGTTACTAATTGAGCAACTATTCTGTGATCAGTCATTATATTTAAAATCCCTTTTAATAGTTAAACTGAAGGGCTGATACAGACTCTAAAAGAGTCCTCTGGGAAATGCATTTGCTATTTAATTGGCACGTTTATTCTGTGAGCTTATTAGAAAAAGAAACTCATCAGCACCTTCCAAATGAATTTTATTGTGGTGCCTGAGGTTTGTAAATAATAATAATAATAATGACATTGTTGTAGATCTTTTAACTTATGGTTAGTTTTATGACCTGTATTTGCAGCTACTTGGATAGCACTTATTTGGCTGTACTGTAATTAAATTTAAATAATTTTCTTGGTGTAGATTTGTATAGGTGCTCATATCTTTGGTGTTTTGTAGTAACAAAATTTTTATTAAGAAAAAAATGCTGTTAAACATGCAATTACCTAGAATTTTTTTAATTTATAAGTAAGCTACATGCTAAATGTCCAACGCAGACCTCTCGTAGAGGATGACGTACTGTTCATATTCTGTAAATATAGCCAGTAGAATAAAATGAAGTTGTGCATCAAATCAAATGGTTCGATCTCAGCCAGCGTCTCACAAAGGCAAATATGTATGCGATTGGAAATGAAACAACAAGAGTCAATGGCGAAGGACCAATTTTGAACACCGAGCTTCCGAGACGGTTCGCGGCCCGGCGGGGGCGGTCCAGGCGGTCCAGGTGGTCCAGGTGCCGATGGTGGACAGTGTTGCTTTGACAGCCGCGGGGCGCGTCGGGTTGCGGGGGCGTCGGCATGCAACAGCTGAGGTGGGGAGGGCGGGGCGCGGCGCGGCGCGGGGCGCTCTGTTGGCCCTCCACCCCCGCACGGAGGCCTGTGGTGGCACCCCGCGGGGGTGGTGGTGGGGCCTCCCCTTGCCTGCCCTCCCCCTCCCCCTCCCGATGCGCCGCTCCGGCCGCCCCGCGGGGGGCCCAGGCGGGGCCCAGGCGGGGCCCGCAGACTCGACGCAGGCCCGGGGTCGTTCCGCGCCGCGGTCACCGCGACTGCCTTCTGCCTTAGCGCTGTGCTGGCCGTGCTGGCTGCGCCGCGGCGCCGCCAGTGAGACGCGAACCCCCGACCCGAGCAGGTGTGTCTGGCGCCGCCGCCACGAGCGCCGCCCGCCGCCCTGCGTAGCGTAGCACTCGAAGCGACCGCACTCCCTCGCGCCCTGCCGCCCGCCGGGGGCCCCGCCAGTGTAGCGGCGTAGCGGCCCGGTCACCCCGTCACCCCCCGCGAGGCGCGGCGCTGCGGACCGAGCCGAGCGCTGCGGAGCGCCCCGGTAAGTCCACGCACTTCCCCCATTCCCTCGCGACCCCAAGTTTCTCAAGTTTTAAATTGCACCTTGATTGGATAATTGAGGCGAAAAAAAAAATCTCAGTTGGTAATTTATTTTTATTCATGAAACTGGTAGGATGTGTTGTCTTTGGTGGAAACCTTATGAAATAGAAAAATTGCTTCACGATGTATTTCCTTCGCAAGCTTACAAATGATCAAAATAATAATTCGAAACGTAAAATTTTCTGCGTTTTGACCGTACGTATCAGTCTGTGAGGTTTTTAGAGAGTCCTGTTCGAGGCAGTAAGAAGGGTTGCCCCACTGCGGAGGCGGCCGGGGGTTGCCTAGGTCCGAGCACGAGATGTGCACTCGGCAGACTGATTCCTACAATCGTTTTCATGGCTCTGTCTCTCTCGCACTCATGCGGCGTCCCGTGCTGGTGCGAGAGAGACAGAGCGACCGAAACGACTCTCGGGGCTGTGCTTCAATGCGAGCGTGCATTGCACGGCCCAGAATCTCCTTCCCGGCGGCCACAGGGAGGAAGAATCCTGCAGGATCCGAGACCCGCGCTCAGGAAGCTTTCTGCGAAGGAGCCCGAAGTCCGGTCCGTAAAAAAAAAGAGAAACGGAGCGGATTACGCGACGCGAAGCTGTGAAACAGAGATAAAAAAGGCAGGGCGAAAAAAGACAGAAAGAGGAATTATCGTTTGCTGCAGCCGGTACTTGAACCCGGGATCGGCCGAACGGCTAATCGACTCCCACGCCCTCTCCATCAGCCGAAAGGAAGACAGAGGCTTGAAAAGGCGCCGCGTCACGCCGCGTCACGCAGCGTCACTCCCCCGAGCCGCGCCTCATTCTGCCCCATTAATGAATGACCCTTGCTCGCCGACCCGTCGGGGCCGACAGCGCCCCGTTCGGCTTTTCGGACCCGAATCCCCAATCCGGTTCGGCTGTTTCCGGAGACCGCCGAACTTCCGGTTAATATTCGCAGAATTAGCGCGCCACCCCGCGTCGCACTTAACGACCTCTTATTACGCCAATCCCCGTGCCGTCGGTGCCGTCTCTCTCACACCCTCACGGGACGCTCTGTGAGTGCGAGAGAGAGAGAGCGAGGGACATGTGTCGCTGGATTACCGAACCTGAGCGCCGCGCCGCCGCGCCAACGCCAGGGGCAGGCAGAGCAGGCGTGGGTTTTGGCGGGAAGAAAATGAGTTTTGGCGGGAAGAGTGTTCTGCCTCTGCCGAGAGGGCGCGAGCGCCGCGGCAGGCGGGCAACCGACGACACACCGCGACGCACTGCCCGCAGACATTGAAAGTGACTTTTATCCGCAGGTGCGCCTTTTGGATTAAGACCGGTCGTCGTTTCGGAAGGACTTGTTCGGGACGGCTAACAGGTACGTTGTCGTCATAGCCGGTTGTCCATGGGCTCGAAGAGCCACACAGTGGGCTCTCCTGGCCCACAGTGCGCCGCCGCGCCCTTGAACAGCCCGTAGAAAGACCTGAGACAGCCCCTGGACAGACCCTCAAAATCGCCATCGAAAGCGATTGAAAAGCCGTGCCGAAAGCGGCGCCGAAGGGCAGCAGAGGCAGCCAGAGGCCGTGAGGCCCTAAAGGCCCAAAGCCTGAAGGGCCAAAGCCTGAAGGGCCAAAGCCTGAAGGGCCCGCCGACAACGCGTTGCTGTCGCGCTGCTGTCGCGTTGCTGCGTCCTTTGAAGTCCAATCCAATCACCTGCCGCTGTGTCGCGGCGCCGCCTGTCCACCGTTTCAAATCAAATTAAGGCCCGCCACGGTTATTGCTCCCTTTTTTATTTACTCCACTTGTGACGGGGGAAGGGGAGGACAACCGATGCACCCCCACCCTTTCCCCTCACCCACATAATGCCCACTAGAGCACTTGTTAATTGGAATACTTCCAGAGATTCGTGGGGTTGATGTGGAGATGAGAGGGCCGGCGGGGGAGGGGGAGGATTAATTCCGGCCAGCTCATCCCTCGGGTCGAGATGATCAAACGAGGAGGGCTGAGGCACAATGGAGCAACTGACCACGATGCAGGTCCGCCACGTTTACAGCAGAGTCCAATCTAGACGTAGCAGACTCCCGCAGGACGGGCAGGGGCCTCGGAAGGGCAGGCCGAAGGGCCGCGGTGGCCCGGAATGAGCTAGGCAGCCGTAGGCAGCCCCTGCGCGGTGGATTTGCCAGAAGACCGGTGGAGGCGGCCAAAATTCCAGACGCGTTTTGAGCTCCAGAGTCGCTAAATGGCACTCGAACCGAACGTGTGACCCCACCAATGGATTGCTCTCCGAACGAGGAATCCATTGCTGGGGTCACACGTTCGGTTCGAGTCCCATCGCGTTTTGGCTGCCTCCACCGGTCTTCTGGCCCACTGTATGCTCCGGGACAGGCACAACGCGTCCAAACGACAAGGGCTGCATTTCCGGCGACGGCAGGCAAACTAAACCTTGTTTCCGAAACGAGCCGAAAAGGGAGCTTCCGTCTTGGAGCCTTGGGGCCGCTATCTCCCCGGTGGGGCACGGCATCCGCTGGGTCGGACGGTGCCTGGCGAAGCGCGCCCCGCCCGGCCGGCCGGCAGCAACTCGACCCATTGTGCAGCCAGTGTAGTCACGGTGTAGTCCTGCCGCCCTAAGGGCCAGGCGGGGCCAGGTCCGCCGAAAGGGCGCCTCTCCGCTCCAGTTTTCCAGTTTCCTCCTAAACAAGGGCGTGATAAACTCCCCCTCCCCCGCGGCGGCTGGGGAGGGGACTGCACGGACAATGCAGTCCGGAGTGGCGACGGCGGAGGTTTTGACGGAGTCGCTGCGATGAAATCCACGCCGGCAATCGAGGTGAAGCCCCCCTCCCCCCTCTCAGCGAGCACTGAGCACGCCCCTTGCACGGCTGCCTGGGACCCGGACCGGGCAGCGCAGCCAGCGAGGGCCAGGGCACCGGCCTTCTGGCAAGTCCACTGTGCGGGGCGAGCAGCGCCAATCCGACTTCTTGTTTGCCGGACAGCGCGCCGCAGGGCCGCAGCCGTCTTCCCTTGCTTCCCGGCGCCAGGTGGCGGGAATCGCGTTCACCCCACTCACTTGCACCCCGACCCCTAAAATCAATTCCACCCCCTGAGCTGGCCCTAGCTCGCCCTAGCTGGCCCTAGCTGGCCCTGGCAGGCCCTGGCAGGCCCTAGCTGGCCCTAGCTGGCCCTAGCTGGCCCTAGCTGGCCCTGGCAGGCCCTAGCTGGCCCTAGCTGGCCCTAGCTGGCCCTAGCTGGCCCTAGCTGGCCCTAGCTGGCCCTAGCTGGCCCTAGCTGGCCCTAGCTGGCCCTCTGGTGTCCCTGGCAGGCCCTGCTGGCCCTAGCTGGCACTAGCAGGCCAAAGCAGGCCCTACGGACCACTAGTGGCCCTAGCTGGCCCTAGCAGCCCTAGCTGGCCCTAGCAATGGCCCTGGCAGGCCCTAGCTTGGCCCAGCTGCCCTAGCTGGCCCTGTGGCCTGCTGGCCCAGGGACCCGGCGGCCAAGCTGGCCGCTGGCGCCAAGGCAGGCCTGCAGGCAAACAGCCCAAAGCGACCGTCATTCTCAGCACCTGGGCTTTAAACAGTTCCCTGTCAGTCTGTTTGCCTGTCTATGCCCCTGTCAGCCCGCCCAGGCCCGCCCAGGCCCGCCCCTCCCCCAAACTTTGGGCCAAGTTGCTGCAGCGACGCCAGAAGACTGGCTGTCCTTCCCCGCGCCTTATTGAGCGCCCGCAATCAAAGCGACGGCCGTGAAGCAGGGAGGAGCTGCACTGCACCACAGTGGGCCAGAAGACCGGTGGAGGCGGCCAAGACGCGTTTTGAGCTCCAGAGTCGCTGAATGGGACTCGAACCGAACGTGTGACCCCACCAATGGATTGCTCTGCGAACGAGGAACCCATTGGTGGGGTCACAAGCTCGCTTCGAGTCCTGTTCAGCGACTCTGGAGCTCAAAACGCGTCTCTGCTCGACTCGCTCTGTGGGGGTGAGAGAGACGGGGCGAGGGCGCGTCTTTTCGCACGGACGTATTGCGCCCGGAGCGCTCGGCCAATCCCCGCCTACCTCGAGCCAACTTGCCCCCCCTACTTTCCACTTAACCCTTTTTACCCCCTCTCCCCCCTTCCTCCCCTGCCCCCAGTGGTGGGGCCCGCCCTTTAAGTCCGAAGGCAGCAGCGCGGGGGTTAGTAGAAGGCAAAAGGGGGAGGGGGACATGCCGACTGGTGTCACGATGCAGAAGCATTGACACAGGGAAGGCTGGGAATTCGAA